AGGACTCAGGGTAGACAGAGCAAACTCACGCACTCAGGTGTAGCACCGATGCTGCGTCTTCCTCATAGTGACTGTAAGGCACTTCCAGGGGAAGAAAATCGAAGCAGCTGCTAAAACCTCACAATTTCTAGAGCTAAAACACAAGCCCTCTTGGATGCAACACAAAAGCAACCAAGATGTGTGTTTAAGGCTGACTTTTCAAGCTACTTTTTTTTTTCTAATATAGCAATAGAAACTGTACAGAGAAATGAAAATAGGTTGCATATTCAGGGTCTGTGCAGAATGGCCAAATAGGAGACTGTATAGGAAAATATAACAATTTTCCTCCCTTTTTGCACAGTTTTGAAATGCGGCAAGTCTGGTGGATTCGGTAACACTAATACAAAACTGGAAAGTGAAGAGAGAGGGGAAGCAAGTTTCATTAACAGAGAGAATTCTACATAAAATATACTGGAGCTGATGGAGGAAAGGAAGAGACAGCCAAGATGTTCAGCTGCAAGTGGAGTCCAATTTGATGCTCAGCATGAGTTTAAAGGGAAGATTTTCTCAGCCTTAAAATAAAAGAGCAGTATTGGATGCGTATGGGGCAGAAAACTGTCGTCACAGAAATGGATTGTACCGGGCTCGCGAAAAGCGAGAGTGGCAAAAGTAGCTCATTTTGCTGTGCTACATTTATAGATGTGCTCATTTGAATGCTCCCAGGAGGACCAGCTTCATGCATCCAGACAAAATTACACAGGCGTCCTACCACTCCATACCACGATGATAAACCCCGAGCGTAAAGGAGATCCACCACAAGTTAACTGGGAATTCTGCCTTTGAATTTTGGGGAGCGGACCTGATTTCCTACCAGCAGATCTATGCTTTCTTTCATTTCTTGTAGGATCAGCCCTCTGACATAAACAAATTGCTAACATCAAGGACCTGATCCTGCTTCCACTGAAATCAATACAAGTTTTGTCATTGGTTTCAATGGGATCAAGGATTCAATCCCACCGTTTTTGAAGTCAATAGGGTTGGGGTTTTCTCTGAATAAGCAAGGCTGCGTTAGTACTGCAGAATGGGCCTAAATTATATTGATGATTTGGATGTAAAACCAAGCATAAAAACAGGATTAGGTGAAAAAGGGAAATGTATGAGAAAGTGAGTGTAGAGCAGCATCCATTCATGGTGTGCAGCGGGTCAGCAGGAGCAACACCAGAGCAAAGGCTGCAGTGGCACAGCACCAGTGAGAAAAGTCCATCGGAAAATACTGGGGGGAAGAAAGACGAAATTCACTGTGGAGAGCCTTTTTCATCTGCTCCTTCTAAAGCAAACCTTTGAGTCACTCGCCCTTTATTAAAAATAAACAAAACATTGACAGAAGAAATTATTGTCACATATACACACAGAGTAATTGATTCTGCTTCTTCGCTGCTGCTTCTTTTCCCTCTTCTCCGATACAGGGTTGTTCTATGTTTCTGCAACAACTACTGGCAAATCAGAATTTATTGTACATATGTTTGTGTTCCACTTAATAAAAAATATACTTATATTTTCAGATAAACTTTGTTAGTAATTCATGAGGTAAGTGACTATTTATGCTAATAAGGGAGAAATATATTCTCAAGCATTATGCATTACATAAATTTGAATGCAAAATGTTCAATTATGAAGTAAATACAGGTAATGCAAATAGTAAATTACATCCAATAAAAATATATAAAGAATGTGTCTTCAAAGAGAGAGAGGCTTTTATTTGCGTCTGTGAGTTGTTTAAAGAGAAAAGAATTAATAAATACTGAATTACTCTTATGATGATTTAGCTCATAATTCACCAATCCATAACGACTCCCAGTAATCAGACTGTTGTTTCATACTCTCCAATATAAGGCAGGACTGTTTCCTCAGCAATTTTATCCCTACCAGATTATCTCGTCTGATTCTATTAATTCTCTCCCATAAATCTGCTAACAGTGATATGTGATTTACTTACCCTGTTAACTGATCTGAAGACTGTTAAAAGGATTTATCTAGCACTGCACCTAGGAGCAGTTTATGCCTTATCACTCTGCTACTCCGAAGAAGTCTTTCTGAAATCAATTTGGCTGGTTTCGTAGTTAAATTCAGCGGACACTGTTTAGTTCTGCACCATAAAATAAGACACTAGATAAACAAAAGGAGCAGTAACTGTACTTAATGTGTTGGCCTTGATATGTGTTTAAGTTATAACAAATTACACCCTGAGTCCATATAACACAGAACCTGCACGTTCGTTTCTGCTCAGTCTCGTGTGTTGGGTATAGACACACACGCACACACACTCCAGCGGTGGAAGTTCCTGCCTCAGCTGCTGGCGTGCTCAGAGCAGGCCGACCCCAGTGGATTTGGAGTTAATGTTTCACGTCCCCCCTGCACGATCTGTCAGAAAACTCTCCCACAGTAAATATACATTAGTTTGGAGGCTTATGAACCAGGTCAGCGGCACACTGGGAGCAAGGAGGGCTCCACGGTACGTCGTCGAACAGAGATGCTTAAAAACAAGCCAGAGCAAGAGGCTGTGAGAGGGATGGTGGAGTTTTCCCTCTGCCTGGCTCAGGGCAGGATTGTTACAAACAGTGCTGGGAAAAGGGAGCAGTCTGAGGGAATTGGCCTGCGATAATTGTGGAAAAACTGAAGACTGAATAGCTCTAATTGAAATGAAAGTGTGTGATTGTTATGGAAGAAACACTGTTAATAGAGGACTGTAAATGTTTAGACACCCATTGTGAATAGCCAAATAATAAAGAAAAATACTACTAAAATGAGAATTATATAGTGTAGGGAGGAGAATGTTGCTTCTGAAGGTTATCCAAAAATTGCTAATAATCTTTTTTTCTCTGCTGCGCTGAACAGTAGAGACATTTTGGTGCAGCAGTTCTGTGTAACAATCACACAAGAACAATATTGTACAACTAATAATTTTACTCGCTGTTCTGGTAGGTCAGAGCTTCAATTAATTTGCAGCACTTGCTTACATTGGTATCAATTAAGAGACGGCCCCCATTAGCTCACACAATTTCATACTCTTTGTCTAGAGTTCAGAGTTTACTCAGGAAATTTACTCGTTTGCAAATGTAGCACTTTGAATCCTCACATCCAAACAAACTATTTTATGGGGCTGGAGCCACATTTCCACAGCCTTCTACCACACGGGAATGGGAAATACTACAACTGTACATTCTGAAACGCCATAACCTTTTCATTTAAAAATATTGGCACACATAAATGTCTCTCATAGGTGAGCATGTTAAGTGATATACAGTGCCACATTCATCTTGCTCTGGTAAAAAACAAATACAGGGAATTGGACTGTCCTGAGGGGATTTATGCCGTGAGCCTGGAAGTTCTGTTGATTCCAACAAAGCGAAGAAATAGGAAAGCCAGTCCAAGTAGTTAACTTGTATTAACTTTGTCATGAATCGCAATCTGTAAGATAAAGCCAGCAGATGTCCACGGCTCTGTGTGTGCGGGTGTGTTTTGGGACCGTGTAGAATTGTTATTTTAATTTTTGTTAGAGATGTTGGTAGCATTTTTTATCTTTACAGAATTGCCACTGTGATCATTTCTAGATGTGGTTATCTTCCTAAATTCGCAGTATGCCCTACCTCTTTTAGCTGCCAGGAACAGTACATGCTGTATGACTTTCAGATGTTAGTACTGGCACTCACACTGATAATGGCATAGTCAGAAGATGTTATCCATTCGTAAATCCACTCGCCAAGTGCTATTTCCTAAGCAGAGATTCTTTGGCTATTGCAAATGATGACTTTCACAGTTGGTGAAAAATCACCCAGAGCCTTGCCCGCACCTACAGAGTGATACCCTGAGTGGGGTTATAAATAGCAAACTCCGAGGGGGAAGGGACCGGGCATGGGGAGAAGGGAGGATTTGAAGTACAATGTTCAAGAAGCAGGTTTAATATATGACCAAGTGTCAGAAGTCAGGTTTCTGAGAATTACTTTTCAGATAAACAACTTTATAGCACCGCACTTAATCTTACTTACTAGAGACATCTCATTTATCACGGAATTACAAGTAACTTTAATTCTATCGATATTCCCATAAAGCCCGGTCGGAAAATCGAGACTGGCAGCCCGGGAGGCTGCGGGTCTCCCCGGTCCCGCGGCGGGAGGCGGCGGGTGCAGCCGGGGCCGGGCGGGACCGCGGCGGCTGCGGGGGCGGCGCCGCCCCGACGGGGGGCCCGTCCCGTCCCGTCCCGTCCCGTCCCCACGCTGGCCCGGCCGCTCGGCACTGACCTGTGGACGAGAGATGGCGCTGTCGAGGTTCGAACCGAAGCCGCTCCGCTCCTCTCCAGCCGCTGCCGCTCCACGGCCCCCGGCCCGGCCCCAGCCCCCTCCCGGAGGGGAAAGGGGGACGGGAGGGGGGGGGGGGTGAGGTGGGAGGTGATGGGGAGACGAAAGTAAATACAATTAGTTCTAAATGTATTAAATTAATTAGCCCGGGCCGGCAAGCCGAGTGCGGCGCCGGGAGAGGTGGCGGGGGGGGCGGCGCGGGGCTTGCAAACTTGCGGGGCTCTCGCATCTCCGGGTGGGCTGGGGAAGGGAACGGAGGGATCGATGCCCCGTTCCCCTACCGAAATAATCAATAAGTGCGCGGGGCGCTGCGGGGGAGCGATGGCCGGGGGAAGGGCCGCCCGTCCGCTCGCAGGTACCGGCGCCGGGCACGGCGGAGCCCCGCGCTGCCCCCGCGCCGCCCGTTCCCCCACGGGCGCCGCCGGGTTCCCCTTGGGGCGCCGCGCCCGGCGCTCCCCCTTCCTCCCTCCCTCCTGCCGGCCGGCCGGAGCTCCCCCGCGCCCTCGGGTGCCCGTGCGGGCGGGCAGGGGCAGCTCCCGGGCAGCCCGCCCCGGGGCAGGGCGCTCGCCCGGTGCGGCGCGGGAGGAGCGGCCCGGCGGGTGCCCCGTCCCGTGCCGAGCCGTGCCGTGCCCAGGCGCGGCCCCGGCGGCCAGGAGGGGGTTAAGCGGGCGCTGACAGTCAGCTGAGCCCTGACTGACAGCCCGGAAAGTTTCCCTGTCGCTATACTCCTATGCTAATGAGCCCGGGCGGCGGGCGCCCATTGGCCCAGCCCCGAGCCCGTGTCCCGTGTGACGTCAGGGGCGCTATAAAACCCCGCAATGCTTTAAACTCTCCTGCCGGATCAAACCTTTAAATATTTTTCATCTTCTTGCTGTAGCTTTGAGGCCGAGTTGTTGTGTGTTTTTTTTTCCTCTCTCTCCTTTTTTTTTTTTTTGTTTTTAACTCTTCTAATTATTGTTATTATTATTTTGGTTGCGATACAGACTCTGATTTTTTTTTAAATTTTTTTCGCCTTTGCTCTCTCTCCCTCCTCCCTCCCCCGATGAACCTCTCTCTTCGCTCTGCACTTTGCACGAGAGAGCCCAGAGGAAAGGCACCATGAAGTGTTAAAAAATAACAAAACAAAACAACAACAACAAATTTACTCGCAACAACACCAGCTAACACTTCCAGCTGCGGTTCGCGAGCTGCGAAAGAGAGCGAGGAGAGAGAGAAGGGAGGGAGAGAGGAGAAAAAAAAACCCTCTATGCAAAAGGCGAATAGCGAGAGCCCCGCGCTCTGATGCATCAGCGGAGCCTCTGCGAGGGATAACGCGGAGCGGGAGCGGAGCCGCCGGGGCGGACCGGAGCGGAGGCAGAGCAGGAGAGCGGAGCGGAGCTCGCCAAAAATCAAGCTGGCTCACCCGGTGGCGACTCAGAGCAGCCCCCTCGCTCCCGGAGCGCACCCTTTCTGGAGGACTCTCGGCAGCAAAAGGATGGCATCAGAGCTGGCGATGAGCAGCTCCGACCTGCCCACCAGTCCCCTGGCCATGGAATATGTTAATGACTTCGATCTGATGAAGTTTGAAGTGAAAAAGGAGCCGGTGGAGACCGATCGCATTATCAGCCAGTGCGGCCGCCTGATCGCCGGGGGATCGCTCTCCTCCACCCCGATGAGCACGCCCTGCAGCTCCGTGCCCCCGTCCCCCAGCTTCTCGGCGCCCAGCCCCGGCTCCGGCTCCGACCAGAAGACCCACCTGGAAGACTACTACTGGATGACGGGGTACCCGCAGCAGCTCAACCCGGAGGCGCTGGGCTTCAGCCCCGAGGACGCGGTGGAGGCGCTGATCAACAGCAGCCACCACCCGCTGCCCGGCGCCTTCGATGGCTATGCTAGAGGGCAGCAGCTGGCCGCGGCCGCCGGCGGCTCCGTGCCGGCCGAGGAGATGGGCTCGGCGGCCGCCGTGGTGTCGGCGGTGATCGCCGCGGCGGCGGCGCAGGGCGGCGCGCCCCACTACCACCACCACCACCACCGCCCGCCGCCGCCGCCGCCGCCGCCGCCGCCGCCGTGGTGCGGGTGGTGGTGGTGGTGGTGGT